AGGCAGTTGGTTGCATCTGGCTCCGACATTTTTGGTCTGAAGTTTTATGCTCCATGGGTAATGCAACTTATCAAGCTTCACTCTGCCATTAACTATCAGCCGTCTGTGCGCAATCATCTTGTCTTCTTGCCAGAGGTTGATCTGTCTGTTGAAGCTATTTACCCAGAGCCTGCTAAGGATCCCATTTATCTTCATAATGTTGATCACCAAAGCTTCACCCAACCCATTAAAGGAGTTCAGGCAGTCTCGCGTGTTTATCCCTTGGCTGGCAACACACATGCCCCTCGTACTCAAACTAACGCCACTGGAAGCACCATTGCGCAAAGACCTTGAAGGCGATCTCGTGTTCTCAATGACCGAGAGCTTCTCGTCGCGCTACACCAGAAACAGGACAAGCATCACAACTGGCTCAAGCGTCAGATGCAAAGCCTCTTGGTGGATGTCAACCGCATTCGCAATCTTGCCACCAAGAATGCCTTTGTCACTCATGAAACCTGTCGGAGGTCATGGAAGAGTTTGACATTGCTTAGTGCTGAAGCTGATCTGCAAGACGATGGCTTCACCGAAAGATTCAAGTTTGACTCAACTCCTCCCAGGAATGCTCACTTGCGTCGGACTCCCTCACTTGAAGACTCTGACTATTCGTCCTCAGCTGCGACAGTGAATGCCAGAGTCATTGATGACCAAGATGATGCAACCTCACCTCCTCCAACTTCAGTGCGTGTCGACACTGCACCAAGTTCTTCTGCACCACCGGACCTCAATGACGACCCTGCTGCTTCTCCTGCACCTCATGGGAACGAGTAGGCGCTCTATGTCTTCAAACCTTTTTGGTCCTTACTGACAAAAGGGGGAGAAGCATATGAGTTGATAGTCTTCAAGCGGGTCCATATGGGTGGTTGCTTTACCTTTTGCTACTTTTGCCAAGTGCTTACAACTCTTGCTCTTCGATACCTTTGGTTCTTCGAGTTGTGACGCTTAAACTCGATGGTCATTTTGCAGACGCCCATTTTTCATTATGCATGTCATTATCTTTGTTACATCAACTCATGCATGATGAATTGTCATCATAAGTTGAAGAGGATCTCCACAAGTACAACCTGCCATGTGCATTTGCATTCCAAGAGCAAATTACTTATATGCACATCTTCAGGGGGAGCCTTTGCCACTTATGAAGACAATACTCTATCCTTTACAATTTCACATATTTTATTCCCCGTTGAAAACTTCAACCAGTTTGTCATCAATCACCAAAAAGGGGGAGATTGTAAGTGCATCTAGTGCCAGCCCTAGTTGGTTTTGGAGTATTGACGACAAACCTGGTTGAGGGACTAATGTGTTTGTGAGAATTGCAGGATAACACAGGTAGAAGTCCCTCATTGATTCGGTTTTCCTACCAGAGATGACCCCTAAAAATGTATGAAGACATTGAAGTCAAAGGTGGTATGTGAAGACATTCACATTGAAGACTATGACAAGAGAAGACATCGCGTGAAGACTATGGAGCGCGAAGACTTAGTTGTTTCGTCGTTCTTTTTCTTCTTTGTTGAGTCATAGGAACCACCGTACTGTTAAGTGGGGTCCAAGAGAACCAGTCAGAATGACTGAAGTGATGCTTAACCAAAATCCTATGTCTTCGAGTGAAGACAATGAGAGCAAATCTTATCCAGAGCTGGATAAGTCAGCTTTGCTTGTAGCCCAAGTAAAATTGCCGTGTGTGTTTGAAATCTGACCGTTGGAACACATGTCAGTTCCTTGGTGACCCAGGGTCATTTCGGACAAATCAGGTTGGGTTGCCTAGTGGCTATAAATAGCCCACCCCCTACAACCATAAACGGTTGGCTGCTTAGAGTTAGTACGGCTTTTGTCGTTTGAGAGCAACTCACCTCGAAGCCTTTGAGAGAGAATTCCTTGCGAGGATAAAGCGCTAAACACCCAGAGGCAAAGAGTGTTAGGCATCACTTAAGTCTTCCTGTCTGTGTGATCTGAAGACTTATTACACTTGAGGACTGTGAATCCTCCAGCCGGCTAGGCGTCGCGTTCTGAGCATCCAAGAGTCATTGTGGATTGCCGGTGAACGAAGTCTGTGAAGGTTTGGAAGTCTACCTTGAAGACTTACCAGAGTGACTGGGCGAGGACTGGGTGTCCTTAGCTCAAGGGGAATAAGGTGAAGACACGGTCTTCTGAGTTGAATCTCAGCCTCCCTAACCAGACGTACAGTTGTCACAGCAACTGGAACTGGTCCAACAAATCATTGTCTTCAACGAGTCACTGGTTCTATCCTTCCCATCTCTTTATTTACAGTTGGTCCTTGTGAAGTCATTGCCTGTTTGCATTATCTTTTGTCTTCACTGAGTGACTGCTTGTTCTGATTGGCTTCATACTATCTTCTACCTGATCTATACTGCCTAGCTGCTATTAGTCATTGTGCTTTTACTTTATTGAATACTTGACTATGACTTGCTTAGTGTAGTCTACCTTCCGCTGCATGGTAATATGTTTATTTCTATCGTTTGTCTTCAAAACTCTCATGTTTTGAAGACTTTCTTAAAAATCGCCTATTCACTCCCCCTCTAGTCGATCACTAGCACTTTCAAAATTAATCAAACAATTGCTTAATTTCTCAAAAGAAACAAGAGCCTTGTTGCAAAAAAAGTATTTGCGGCTCCGCAACAAAAGCTTTGTTGCAGTCGCACATAACCCTTGTTGCAAACAAAGCATCTCCTCTCTCTCCACCGCCAGTTATGCCGGTCGATTCTGGCGAGTACTAGCAGCAATCGACCGCGTGCGACACACTCCCTGAGGTTGCCTCACAGTGCTCCTTCCTGCCCTCCGGCTAGATGTCGTCGAAGTAGCCGCTGAACACCTGCTCCAGTGTCGCCCATCTCGACACCCTACCCTCGCCCTGGTTATTGGCCGCTGCCTCCCCTTCCCCGGTCTGCAAGGATTGCAACAGCGGCCCAGCTGCAAACTTAGATGACGGAAGAGGTTGCTTTCGAGCCTTTCGATCAAAATCAGATCCGGCAGCCACAATGTTGGCTGACACAGATCAGCCGGGTGAGCCGTAGCATTTCCGTCTGAAAATAGCACTCCCGTTAAATGTCACATGTTTTTTGTTTTTTTTTTGAGATGGTCACATGTTTTCTGTTGGTCAAACTATGAATTAAGGATGACAATTTTATCCATGGACATGGATATCCATGGATATCCGACCCGAATGGATAGGGTTTGGATATGCTTTTGTGTCCATGGGCGGCGCCCAAACCCGACCCGATTGTTCGTGGGTAGGGCGTGGATATAATCGTGTACCCATGGATATACCCAAACCCGACCCGATAGTATGACGTAATGGGAAAAAATCTGCCATCCCTGCCCCACGTTCACATGTCCCACAATAATTTTACACTTTTTTATCTAAAACATGCATAAGAAATCACACAATCCCCATCGTAATTTTTATAAGTTGACAGTCAATCCCCTCTGTAACATACTTCAACACCCCTTCCCTTATTTTTATCTCCTTATTAAATGACTCGTCATTCTCATCTGTTAGAAAAATACTAAATGATCTTAGGTTATTACTGGATGTTGATTTATCATAAGTGAAGCCTAGCCTGCCACGAGGTGAAGAATGGAAGAGTTTATGTTAATATCGTGTTAAGTTTTATTTATATGTCTTGAGAGGACCCAATGGATATCCAGTGGATATGGATATCCATCGGATTTGGACATGGACACAATTTTTCACCCATGAATTTTTTCATGGGCGGACAAAGACTGTCTTCATGGATATGGATATGGATATGGATTTGATATTGTTCAACCCGATCCAAACCCGACACATTGCCATCCTTACTGTGAATAGCTTGTCATTGTTTTGGTATTCCCAAACTACCCCTGTCAAAATTATCCCTAGCTCTGTCGTTGTCCGTCGAGACCAATCTCCTTCCAGTCGCTCTTCCCTGCCAAGTATCAGCCATAGCGGCGCGCCGCGCGCGGAACCTAGTGGCGCCAGCGCTGGCTTGCTGCTCCTCTCTCTCCCCTCTCTCCAATTTCCTGCCTCCGCCACCCTCCCCTCGCTCCGCGGCCCTCGTACAGCGACCCCGGCCGTCCTCGGCTCCGGCGACCTGAAGGTACCTGATCGGCGGCCCTCGCTTGACTCGGCCCCGGCGACCTCGACGTCACCACCCTTCTCCGGCGACCACACCACCTCGCCCTGCTCCAACGACCGAGCCACGCCCTGCTCCGTGGTCGACTTCAACCACTTCGGTACACGCCTGTCCCTGCTGTGCTGCTTGTATTGCTGTTTTTTTTTCGAATAGAAATGTGCTAACTTTTTTGCGTGATTCAGTCAATTCCTTCACCTGACTGAGCGTTTAGTGTGGTTTTTTGGTTTCATCAGATTTCATCACTGATTTGACGGATTTGGTTATATCGGCATGAATCAATTTGGATTTTTTTGAGGAAGTGTAGCTCTTTTGCTTTGTTCCTGAATAGGAGTACGTTTTTAATCGAAAATTGGGGCGAAACATGCCGAACACCTTATACGTACTGAACCCTACCGTATACGTATTCGGGTCCAGAATAAATAAAATGTTGACTTTATTATTGAGAAAGAATTTAGTCAAAAAATATTGAGAAAGAAAAAAAATCCAGCAACGTGACATAGAACCAGGCTGATCTTGATAGCTTGAGGAAAAAAAAAAGATCGAGACTCGACCACGGGCGGACCCGAAGGAACAGCTGGCGTCGAGCCCAAACCTCCAAACCTTGCTGCCTCGGTCGGTCGGTAGCCTGTACACCGTATACGTAGAAACTACGCTACCGTATGCGTAGCGAACACGCTACCATATACGTACCGTAGTCGGACCCGATACACCGTATAATACAGGTCGTCGACGCCCTAATTTGGCAAAAGCTTTTCCGCGCAATCGATCGCAGAGTTTTCGCGCGAACAAGAAACCTCCAGCTCCCCGCTCCGCTCGAATCGCTCCGCCGCCATGGCGCATTACCGGCGCCGCGGCTGCCTGCGCCGTGCCCTCACCATCGCCGGCGGTGTGTCGGCCGGCCTCCTCCTGCTCGCCGGCGGCCATACCTACGCCCACGGCCAGCTCTTCTCGCCGGGCTTGCTGCCCCTCGGCCTCGGCGCCGACCGCTCGCCGTCCTTCGCCCCGCCGCCCTTCGCTCTCTCGCCGCTGCCGCCCTACCTCCTCTCAGACTCGGAGGCCGACGCCTCGCCCCCGCAGCCGGAAGCCAACCTCCCGCGGCGCCTTCTGCCCCTCCACCGCACGCCGCCGCCCTTCGCTCTCTCGCCGCTGCGGCCCTACCTCGTCTCAGATTCAGAGTCCGACGCTGAGCCCCCGCAGCCGGAAACCACCCTCCCGCGGCGCCTTCGGCCCCTCCATCGCTCGCCGCCGCCCTCACCCTTCCTGGGCTTGGACTCGGAGGCCGATCGCTCGCACGACGACGCGGACGCAGTCTTGCTCCCGGACTGGGAGGTTCTTGTCCTGACTGACGCTGAGCCTGGCGCCAAGGCGACGTGCGCCTTCCAGGGTGGAGCGTCGTCCCCGGCGAGCGCGCTCGGGAGGCTGCCGGGGTCGGGCCGCCACGCCTACATCTGCCCAATGCGTGAGCCTGCCCGGAGCCTCCAGCCGCTCCAAGCGCCCGTGCTGCTCCCCACCTCGGCTTCCTCTGCCGATTGCCCTGGCCGCGCATTGCTGAATTGGACCGGCCGGATCGCGTTCAGCTCTGCAACACTCGACAGTGGCGATGTTCTTGTCTTTGCAAAGGGCGTCAACCATGTTGCTGGCGGTGTCCAATGCCTGTATCGCTACTGCGGCGAGACCCATGCCGTGGTGGCCTCCTTCCCGGCCATCACGTCCGTACAGCAGGTTACCCGGTGCCCCGCTCCACCGATCCATCTGAACTCTAGGAACACAGAGTTCCGTGTCACCGTGGCAGCCACGGGCGAGGATCCAATCCCGACACTCGTGACTTATCGTCCCCGGCAGAGTGAAAGTGGCTCGCTGGTGGCACCGGAAAAGAACCTGATTTGTGCATGCACCATGATCCACAACGTCTCAAAGTTTCTTCGCGAATGGGTGCTGTATCATGCCGCTATCGGGGTGGACCACTTCATCCTGTATGACAATGGAAGTAAGGATGACTTGGCAGATCAAGTCGCTCAGTTGAGGTCCGCTGGAATCAAAATCTCTACCGTGCCTTGGCCATGGATCAAAATGCAGGAAGCCGGCTTCTCCCATTGTGCTGCAACGCACCAGAGCTCTTGCAGGTGGATGGCCTTTATTGACGTCGACGAGTTCGTTTTTTCGCCCAACTGGGAACGATCTGAGAAACCGTCAAAATCGATGCTTGAAGAGATTGTTCAGGTTGATCCAGATGTCGGGCAGGTATATCTGTGGTGCTTTGATTTTGGCCCCTCTGGCCAAACATCACACCCACAGGAGGGTGTCATCCAAGGATACACATGCCGTCTGAAGAGGTTTCTACGGCACAAATCGCTGGTTCTGCTTGCTGCAGTGGACCATTCTTTGGAGAATGCAATTCACCACTTCACACTGAAGGCTGGTTTCAAAAGTATACGGAGCATGCAGGCACGTGTGAACCATTATAAGTACCAGGCGTGGACCGAGTTCAAGCATAAGTTCAAACGACGAGTGTCCGCCTACGTGGCTGACTGGAGAGATCCAATCAACCTTGAGTCCGCTGACCGGGCCCCCGGCTTAGGTGTTGATGGAGTCGAACCGGTTGATTGGGCTCAAAGGTATTGCGACATCAAGGATAACCTGCTTCAGAAATTGAGCTCAAGATGGTTCGGTAACGGATTGGGAAGTCCGGGATCTCAGGATACTTAGGCTTGGCAGTATCTGTAACCTGCGACTGTCTAGAAGGATCCAGAGGCATTAGAGATGGAACTGTAATCTAGTTTAAACCTGTCTCCTTGCCTCCCAAGATCAATCTAGATACCAATCTGTACATCGCTTGCCACGTTCGGCACCTATAAATAAACATCACGCGGCCTCCAATGGAGGTAGAGACGCTTCCACAATTCTCACATGGTATCACGAGTCATCTTCCTCTTTTAGCAATTCATCTACATTCATCTGATTATGGCGAGCTCTTCCTCCAGCTGTAGCATTTCATCAACACCGCCACCACCATCTCGGAGGAATTCCTGTCCAGCGCTGACAAGGATGGGAAGCAGCACTGACAAATCCTTTCATAAGGTTCACAGGATGGCAGTTTAAGTTTGTTGAAGGTATTTTTTTGGATTGGTTTCTTGCTCTTCGGCTATTCTCTTAAAATGCTTGGCCGGATTCCGTTGATAGTTAATATATCAATAACTTTAACTCTTCAAGAATTATAATGGAGTATTTTCTAGGTTGTCTTGATCTAGAGCTTCTATCGCCTCTTCAACAATTTATTGGCATAAACTTTTACCTGAAGCTGCCCATCAAATATCTATTCCTAATAGTACTTATACCTGACATTATCTGTCATGTGTACTGCATACTGTTTGGTACGCTGTCCACTTATCCAGGATTCCATGGTCTGCAGTAATAGTGGATTTGTATTAGTGGAAGCATTATCTAAGTGATATTTTTCAGGTTTGGTATCACTTCTGCTCCAGGTAGGACATCTTTGAGCAGGACACCATGCACAAAAGGTAATAACTGAGAATTCATGGGCAATGTAAAATTTCAGCATGATATTTTCAGGCAGTTGTTACTTGAGTGTCAGACATTTTCTGTGTTCTTGTTTTGTTCTTTTTGTTTGGAATTAATGATTTATCCAATGCTGCACATTGCATGCACGCCGCAAAAAAAAAGCTTCATCTGATTTTGCTAAATGTTCTTTCTTACTGAACTAGCTTCAGGACGGATGGCAGGTTTGCTAACAATTTGATCTTTTTGCGCATTGCAGGTTTGGTACTAATTGCTTGAAAAAATCGTGCTTTTTGCAGCACCATCCTGTTGAGCCATGAGATTTGAACCAATGAATTCAGATAACATCTACCATGTTTATGGATCACTACATGTTCCATTGGAAGTGGAACAATGTGAGATTCCTTTTTCAGTAATCATCTGAACACAGGTTTCATGCTTTTCTGAAATATTCCGTGCCACACATTGTATGTTCGCTGCAAGCTTCTAAAAAAACTTCTTATTTTTGTTGCTAAATGTTCTCTCTTACTAAACTAGCTTCAGGACGAACAGCAGGTTTGCTAATCATTTGATCCCTTTTGTGCATTGCAGGTTTGCTACTTAATTCTCAAAGAAATCGTGCTTTCGCATCACCATCCTGTGGAACCACGAGGCCTGATCCAATTATTTCAGAGAACATGTACTATGTTTATGGATCACTACATGTTCTGGTGGAACAAGGTGAGATCCTTTTTCAGTAACCATTTCATTTGAACACGCATCATGCTTTTCCGAATATAACTGAACATCTGAAGCAGCCATGGTGTACTGCTGTATATATTTTTAAATTGCAAGTCAGCACCTCCTCGTTTGATTGCTATGGACTTCCTTATTAATACATTATTATTCCAGGGTTTGCTAAGGTTCTATTTTAATCATACGATGAGCATGGGGTCCACAACATACTCACATAGTTACAAATCTGAAGCACTGGTTAGTTTGTTGGCTAGCAGTATGAATCAGAACTGGGTACTTTTATCTGTTACGAATAATTTAAATATATTTTTAGTGATCTTGTGTGCTTTTATAAAAATCTGAAGGTGGTCATGATTAGGCTGACCAGTAGGCTTTTCTTCTGTGTGAACAGAAGAAGGAAGATGGTACCTAAAAGAACCAAAATAATTGATTCTTTATGTACATTTGTAGAAATAAAACAGAATAGATATAAGATGTTTTTGCAGTTTAATAAATTGAACTGCAAAAACGTCTTATATTCTGGTTACAGGGGTAGTAGTTCTGACATCATTTTGGAAATAGCATCCAGTTACTTACCTTTTTTCTTACCATGTGCTTGCAGAGTAGTTCTGATATCATTTTGTAAATAGCATTCAGGTAGTCATGCCGAGTTTTCTATGATCCAAATAAGAGGACACTTGCCTTTGTTTTAACATACAGATTAAATGTTCATAAGTATACTATTCTGATTGGTTAGTCAATGTATAGATAGTAGTTTGGTGCATGCCGACTCTTATTCTCTTATCCTTTCTTAAGGAGCACTTCTAAGAGCAACTCCAACGCGCCGACCCAAACAGACGCGCGCTTTGTCCGCTTTTCGTCCGTTTGGGTCGGCCGGCCGCTCGGCGTCCGCCCCGTTTTACGTGCGCGACCCTTTTCATGTCCGCCCATAAATTTTAAAAGGCCCGCGGCCGTAGATCATGCCAGCGGCCATGCCATCGTCCGGAGTTTATGTCGGTGCCATGCCAGCGGCCGGCATACAATGCCAGTCTCTAAAAAAGCCACCACACAGTTCATGTTGGCGCACTTGCCAGCGGCGGACACACATGCCAGCACACATAAAAGGGGCGGGAGTTCGACCACGCCATCTTGGTCGTGGTCATGCTAGCACACTTGCCGTCATATAAAAAAAGGATGGCGCTCTCCGCCATAGATCACCCGTTGTCGAACTTGAGCATTTCGGCCTGCATCTTCTCGAACCATGGCCTCTTCCTCGGCGACACGGTGTTCAAGTCCACCTTCATGATCTCCACCCCCGTCATCATGCTAGCGAGCGCCACTTCTTTTGCCTTGGTCTTGGCATTGGCGGCCTCGATGTCGAACATCTTGGCTTGCTTCTCCGCCTCCATCTCAAGCATCTTGGCTTGCTTCTCCGCATCAAGCTCAAGCATCCTCCTTTTGATCTCCATGAAGGCGTTCATTTGCTCTTCCTTGTCTTGCCGGTGCTTCTCCTCGCTTGTGTCCTTTTTGCTCATCATGCCCTCCAAAGTGGCATGCAAGGCAATCGACG